GGGTAGTACCTGGCGCGCCCTTTTCGGGTGATGCGTTTGCATTGGCTTTAGCCTCAGCAGCAGCAGCCTCCATCTTCTTCTTCTTTTTAGCGAGTGCCAATTGCTCCTTAGGAGATCGTTTCTGAGCGGTTACAATCTTTCCACTCGCGCCCAAACGTGGACGAGGTTTCTTTTGCTTGGTAGGCAGGTCTTCGTCCTCCACAAGGGGCTGATCGCCATTAGCGTGCAGCTTAGCCAGGAAGAAGTTCTTGACCAGGCCAATTTGGTCCTGAATGTTCTCCTTTGTGACTGGCTCTGAAGACGGCAGTGGTTCGAAGAGATCAGTGGCTGCTTCGCCAGTCGTTTGTGTCTGCATCTGGTATTGGTTGCGAACTCTCGTCTGCAAAAGATGCAAGGGCACGGAGATCATATCAAGTCCCATCTCCTTATCCAGACCCAAAGCCCGGAAACCGAAGAAATCTTCACCAAGGTCCTCGGCGAAGTCACCACTAACGAACTGCTCACTGCCATCTTTGAAAGCACCAACCCCATCAGCTCCAGCATCTTGAGACAGAGCAGGCCGCAGTAGGTCAGTAAGATGAAGCTTCATCCGTTCATGTAGAGCATCCAACTTGGTGCTCAAGCGATCGAGCTCATCCTTCGCGTACAATTCCAACGAACTGATGTCATGACCATTCTCGTCCAGGGTGTGGAGGATGACTTCCTCAGGAGTGAATCTGGACTGGAATTTGGACCCCTGAGCATTCGCCGGAGATGGCTTCTTTTCTGACTCGTTGTAAACATTGAAAGTTCGACACAGCTTCTGAAAGTAATCTGCTGCAACGCTTGTGAAGGCATCCATGGCTGATGGCTGAAGTTCCTCGAATCCAGTATGGTAGAGAACCTTGGCAATAGAGCGCTTGAGGGCGTTTTGGCATGTTTCGGGTGCCATGACAGGACCGTCATCGCTGATGAAATGAGGCTCAATATCCTGTTCTACGAAGGGATCCGAGTTTGACTTGGGGAATTGGTTTGTATACACCTATATCACATCAGTAAATCAGCAGCATACATCATGGTTTTCACATACCTGAGTTTGAACTTGCATCTGCTTGATAACCGAGATCCTGGTTGCAAGTTTCCTCGTCTCTTGAATCTGATGAATATTCTCATCCATCTTCTTTGTCAGACGACTCGTTGGTGCTGTGAATGACCCAGGCGGCACCAGGCGTAGGAACTCCTCGTGCTGGTTGATAACTTTCCCTTCTCCATCTTCGACCCATTGAAGTTTCGGGTGAATATCAGGGATGTTGCTCAACGTATCATAGTAGTCGGGTATCACCTTAGCCTCTTCTTCCTCAATTTCCTCAGCCAGAGTCTCGGTCGGCTTTGTTGGTGAATCTTCCGACGCCACAGCTGTGGAGTTTGCTTGAGAATGAGTAATGATGCCCTCTGCCTCTGCCTCCCTTTGTCGCTTAAGGAATCGACGCATACCGGCCTTGGAACGAACGAGGGCGGGGGCTTCGGTGTTGAACTTGTTGTCCTTGAAAAGCTGGAATCGCTCCTTGGCAACCAGGGCTCGATCCTTCTTAGTAGTTTGCTTCCAGACCTTGTACTCTTCATCCTCAAAAGCCTGCTCGGCAGCTTCACCAAATGCTGAGTTTAGTGCCAGGCCATTGATGCTTGGCCCATCAATGTCCATGGCATCGGCGTTGCTCCCCATGCCGGAATGGCCGTTGACGCCGCTTGGAGTGAGCGAGCCAGCAATCGGTGGAGTCGCAAAGCCATTGCTGCCGTCAACCTCTGAGCCCTCTCGAACTTTTCCTAGAAGCCCATTTACTTGAAGAATGGGCTTCTGGTCTATTGCTGGTGTGTCCTCTTTCTGGTCGTTTGGAGCCTTTCGTGCCTTACTTGTCCCCTTTGCGCCAGCTTTGCGACCTCGTGAAGACATAATGGGCTCGTCATCGGAATCCTCCCCAGCATCGTCGTCCCCGCCATTCTGTTTTCGCCGTTCTTCTGCCTCAACCTCTGCTCGAGAGCGGATGACAAGATCTGGGATCAATGGAATAAGTTTCTCCGCCTCCTTTCTCATCCCATTGGCCATGCGTCGCAGAGGGTGATTCATATCTTGGTTATACCTAAGGCAATTGTCCCAGATCAAGTTAAGATCCACAACGAAATCAGCCTTGGATTTGTAAGTCAGACTTTTCAACTTCTTGGTCATTGTGCCGAGATCCATGGGGTTTTTGATGACTATAGGTATATTAGTTTCGTCAGTGGCACGAGACTGTTCGTGGTGTCTCACAATTGTAGTAGTCTGGAGCATCCCTCTTGTTGACTCTTGTCAGAAAGGGAGTGGAATATTCCGTATGCGCCTTGAGTTCTGTCAAGACCTTTTCTAAAGCCTCGTACAGCTCCTCCTGGTTCACATTCTCCTCGCTGGCCCATTTGCTCCTATTCTTACGGACCTCGTTCATCAAGAGCCGGAGTTCGGCATCAGAGGCACGAACCTGATCTCGTTTCATGTCGATACGAGCGATGAGATGTTTTAATGTTAGGCTAGAAGCGCCGAGATTGGCGCTGCTGAGAGACCCCTGGTTTGGGGCAGCACTATGGTTATTAATTGGATGATGGTTGTGATCCATCTCAGCCTGGAGCTGCTTCTCAGAATCTTCGAGTTGTTGTTGTTCTAGCATAGCGGCGCGGTCATTCTCCAAGGTGTGAAAGATGGTGTGGAAACTCCTCCGAGCGGCGGCTTCGGTAGCTGTACGAGCTTCCTCAAGCTTCTTGATGGCATCTTCACCATCTTTGTCTTTTGACTGTGAGCCATCTTGATCCTTGGATTTTTCACCATGCTTGCTTGGTGATGTCACCGAATGAACAGGTGAGCTCCCTGATTTGGATGGCGACAGTAACGTATTGGCAGGGGCGACAGCAGAATGAGGTTTTGATGCCGATTGCGAAGGCTCGTCATCTTCTTCGTCATCATCGTCGTCGTAGTCGTCTTCATCGATGGTGCGCTTCGCTTTCTTTAAGGGGGGTTCCTTGATTGGGTCGTGGTCGGTCGTGGGAGGGATAATGTTTGCGGAGGGGGGCGGAGAACGTCGGAGAGCAGATATCGCGGGATAATTGTAAGAACCATCTTCGGAGAAGAGTAACGCGACCTTGTCCTCAGTCTTGCGATACAAATCCGCAAATAGGGCGCGTCGGTTCTCTTCCTCGATGTCAAGTGGTGCCTCAGGCATCAGCACACTTGAATTATCAATAGGAGTTTGAGTTCGCGCGGGGATATCGTCGAGATGCGATACACTCCTATTACTGTTGGTATGGTGCAAATAGGGAGGTTGCCAGGCGGGCTGGCCGTTGGTGATGGACATGATGGACCCAGGGCGATGATAGCGAAAACGGGGCGCGAGTCGCCATGCGCAACAGGATGCGCTCGCGTGCGGCGGGACCGAGGGCGATTGGTGAGCTCAAGACCACATGGGACAAGCGAGAGGCATCGGTAGAGATAGTAGATAGAATTTGGTGATTATATGGCACGTGGAAGGTGGTGTTTTGATGGATCGCGTTCTACCGTTTTGTCGTCTGTTCAAGAGGTGAGGTTGATGATTTGGGGGGAGCCTTGTCAGGTACCTTTCCCAAAGTGGAGAGTTTTCCCTGAGTGAGCGCGCGCTGGACCGACTCGTGGGGGAATCTCGCGGGGGAGAGTTATGGGTACTAAGGACCTGAAGAGGCTGAGGTTATAGGAGGGTTAGAGTAGCTGATTGGAAGTTTACCTCAAGTTGGTGAATGATTCTCTCCCTATTAAAGCTATTAATTGGGATACCAATTCCTTTGTTTGATTGATTGTCCGGTCTTGGGCACAGGCTCCCTTCTCATCGTTTACCCACCATGTATTCCGTACCTACAGAGGACATGCTTCGGCCCCGAGAATGGAGCCTACCTATGTATCTTTGTCAGCGAGTCACGTGCCACAAACACCAAGGCCCGAATTAAAGGTATTCGAACTCTGCCTGCAGTTCGAAAATCATTGAAGTTATTCGCTATTACTTCAAAATTTAACGTGCCTATCTTCAGACGCCATCATAAGGAACTCACCACGCGCCTACAATGAAAAATCTGAATTGGATCTTACATAGCCAAGCCTTCTTAATAAGGGGTGTATTACTGGTGATGAGGAATATATGCACATCACACAATGCAATACACATCCTTGTTCCCACAAACCATGAATGAAGAACAACGCCATCTTTCTAGACCACCCCGGAGATGATCTCTAGCCAGCGATACACAAGATCGAGGAATATGGGGGGCATGCCTGCGCTTGTGTCTGTGCCTAGCAAGCCCGAAATGGGGCCACTTTGAGATCACCAAAGTATCAAACTCCAAATTGTAGCCCTACAACCTCCCAATGCATAAATGATGATGGTGTTCCTTGAAGCAGCATTGTATCAGTCTAATGGCGAGTTATATTCATGATGATCTTCTCCGGTTTCCTTAATTTCTGTACGATCGCTCAGAAAATAATAATCTGAAGTCTCATAGAATCTCTTGGGATCAAATGTTGAAGAAGCGATCTACTGCATGCACCTGGGCTTGAGGGAGCAAGAAAACTTCCGACCTTAAACTTGGGTGCCAAAAATAACCCATCTAAAAGCTCTTAGATTTATAAGTAAGCTTACCTGGACCTTTTTGTCGCCCAAGATGGAGGTCTTAAAGTTTTCTTGCCCCCTTGCTGGGGTCTGGGGTAGTATAAGTGTCCATGTTACACTCTTCTTGATCCAATGGAATTGGTGATCTGGCAAATCCCTGTCAGTTCAAAGTTCATGCACTGCCACATTTGTTGATGAGCCCCGCCACAAGGGCTATCGTCGTCACTCAGCTTCCTGCGTGGAGGAGAGCTCCACGCTTTCATTTTCTCCCACTGCTCGGTCAAAGCTCTCTAAATCCCAGTCTTTTACACAACTATTATAACCTGCCCGATATTGCATTCACAAAAGACCAGACATTTGCTTTTGACAAGGCGCCACGTTTGGAGAACCGAGGACCCTCTTATACGAAGTTGGAAGTTAACCACTCCGTTGGACTTGTCCGGCTCAACTCAAGCTACTGGACTCTTCATGATGAGAATACGACTCCCAGTTGCAGGTACGTCATTGCGTTATGTCCGACTCCCCTCAGTGTTGTCAGTGGAATGCCGTCCCACTCTAGGATCGATATTCAGAACTCGAACACATAGTCTTTGACCGTGAATAAAACTGATAGCTTGCTAGGTGTCTTCCTGCTCTTACTCCTCATCGCCGCCTACGCCGGCTTGACTTCAATACAGCTTGGCCAATATGTCAACGACAAGGTGTTACACTTCATCACCTTTTTTGCGCTTACCGTTGTGTTTTACTGGGTTGTCGATACGAATCGAAGACGCGTTTTGAATATGACTTTGGTCGTTTGCACAATTGTTCTTGGTGTCGGTTCCGAATTCATCCAAAGCTTCCTCGACAACGGTCGGGAGTTTGATCTGTACGACATTGTTGCAAATGTGATAGGAAGTTTGTTTGGTGTTGGCCTTTGCTCGTGGTATCACAAGCGTATGCTCGAGCGCAAGCGACGTAGACGATACAGTGCTGTTCCTGGCGAAGAGCAGGGTGACGTTGAGCTCGGCGAAGGTCACGAGTCTGGGGTTATGGAAGGGAACAGTCGCTCTCAAACATTAGAAGAGGAGGTTGACAACTGGGACGAGAACCAGATCGACGATGACTGGGACGAGGACGAAACACACGAGACTTCAACCAACACTCACGTGTTGGAAACGAACGCGGACAATGGTGACTTGGGAGATACAAAGAAGCGAATGGACTAACACGACCGATGAGCTTAGCTATGGTCATGTAAAGATACTCTACCACGACTTATGACTGGATGGCCCTGCACGATTTACGTTCAACTGGATTACAGTGTATTTGATGCCTTGGTGACTGCTTGGTATCCGAGGAGCCAAACCAGAATATCCATGATTCTCCCATCTTGAAAATGATATCGACACTGAACTGTCCTAGGCATTATTCCCACTTCGACCAGCCTCGTCTAATACAGCTAAACTATACATCTTATGAATAGTGCAGACTTGGGGGTGGGGAAATAACTTCCAGCTATAATGGCAACTGCAATAAGTATGACCAGCCCACGATGGAAGTATTGCTCCACAACCCTTGATATATATTCCTTTCCTCTACGCCTGTCGCACCTTAAATTGCAACATTCGCCTGTTTTAGTTGAATGGATGCAGCTGTGCAGGAATAGCGACAGAACCACAGTCGGTGAGGGAATCATGCTTGAAAGAAAGTGAGGATTTCCAATCCCTGAGGTACAGCGATTTCGTTTCCTGGCCGAGTCCAGTTGGCTCTTCTGAGTCAGGATGAGGATCTCCGTCAGAAGTAGATGGGGTTATTGCCCCTACTGATATTTCGAGCATAGGGTCTTCGCCAGCAATAGATGAGGCTACTAGTTCCGCTAGTGTTGTGGGCACGGGTTGACCATCAGAAGGAAATAAGTCTGTCAAATGTGGTGATGCTTTCATCGTGTAGGGAGTCAGATCTCTTTCCGGATCCTGGCGGGCGGAACCTGAAGCTGACGCTGACTTCTGGGGAAGACCATCTCCAACCGCTCCATGTTGATTAGGGAGACGACGAGGACGACAGGCCAGATATGCAGGCTCAGGAGGCACAGGACGCGTTCTGCTATACCACTGCCGGCCGTTGATATAGGCCATGGGCACTTGCGGCATCATTCTTTGAGTAAGGTGGTCTGCTATTACCTTGGAATCTTCGGAGCTATCCATCTCCTGATAAATACTCTCCCAATCTATTGGAAGTTAGCAACGACGGTCTGACCGGATACTGTGAGTGTCTTATCTATATTACAAGCCTTCGTCATAAGATGATGTGCCCAGTCCTTAGCCGTCCAATTTTCCTGTCGAGGGAGCATAGCCATCGATCCATTTACTGAGCCCCGAAGACGAGCTTTTGTCTTTGAAGACACGACGGGGTCAATGGAATATTATAGGGATAGCTGATCGGAGGATTAGGTAGACAGACTTTGAGAGACGCTGTCTTGAGCAATGAGAAAGCCGGGTATTTTGGGCTGAGAGGATTTTGAGAAGGGATTTTGGGGTTACTTTATATCTAACAACAAGAAGACAGTACAGGTTGAGTTTCAGGAGACTAAGGTAAAAGGTGATGGCCATCTTTAGTAGGTAGATTTTCTGTCAATCTCGGGACAACTGAATAAGCTTTTTTGAACAAGCTTTGCGATAACCACTTAAGTATTTGTTTCGGGGGTTTATCATACTATGTGAGGGCATCTACACTTGGGTTAGGCCGCATATACCCAGGGAAGATCACATAGCATTTTCATCGAGATTCTATCCGAGTCTGAGAAGACTATTGGATCAGGGGTTCAACATAATTCCTCGCTATTGCTCCTCACTCACATCGATGCGTGTTATTGTAGAAGTTTTTGTTCGAGTATGCACTAGGCACAGCCCCTGAGCGAGTTAGAGCATATTGATCACTGATCTAGCAACTCTGATATCTGAGGAAGGTTGTAAATAAAAGTTTGCGTAAGGGTTGACTCAGCTTCATCTACTCTTCGGCTAAGAATCACCAGCTTGCCATGCAAGTTGATGATGGGGGCTTTACGGCGTCGCGTAGACTCGTGAGATTGATCACGGAAAGGAGGAAAGTTAAAATGGATATTGGGAGGTAGAAGTGATTTATAGAAACCAATAAGACGAGCCAATGCAATTATCGAGCTTGAAATTGTTGTGTTACTTTGGAGAAGGTTTGTGAGAATACACCGTGCTCTTAAGTTTATTCAATAATGTGTAAGAGGACGTCAAGATACGGGGGAATCGATTAGAGATCAACATACAGAAAAATTCTAAAGGAGAAAAACCAAAGTGCCAACATCAATAATTGTAAAAGGAATACACTCCTGTCAGGCATTGTTAGACTGTGTTGAGACAACTTCAATCGCATTGTGAACCTGGGGAGCTACCCAATTTCAGAAAGACTACAAATGTATCACACTCCTATGGTATAGTATATGGTGACTGTTTCTGTAAACTACCTTCTCTATCTTAGGAAGAGAGGAAGGGCTCACGAGTTGGACTACATTATTTTGTCATGGGGTGGGATACAAGTAAAAATCAAGGTGAGGGCCCCCGCCTTCACCGTTGACCGAAGCCAGGTGAGACCCCACTGACGAAATGCCCCAAATCGCAAAACCCGCCCACGCCTGACCCCAGCTTCGTACAGCTACCTCGTCTTGCCTGAATACCTAAAGTGACATTAACAAAATGGCGTCAAAAGGAAAAGAGGCAGCGCAAAGGTAAGAGCCCAAAGAAACCCAATACAACCTCTCATGAATGGAAGACAGAAACTTACTCCCAGATAGTAAAGATGCTACGCCAACAAACCCACGGGGCATCCCCTATGCTCCGTTCGTTGACAAGGTCGAGGACTATGTTTCTACTCGAGACGACGTCGAACCCACTCTACGAAGCTTCCAAGAAATGATATCGTGAGTCAAATTTTGTCGAGAAGCTTTAGGACGACGCACGCCCTCAAATGCATGCTCTCTTCAGCTTGCGACATAGGCATTGGCGCTGACTCTGGATGGTGGGGTAGGAAATACCAATTCATGGAGATGAACCTACAGAAGCGAATGGGTGGCCTCAAGGAGAAGATTCCGGATATTCAGAAGACTCTTGACTCGGTCAAGTTTTTGAAATTAAGAAAGGTGAGCACGTGCAGCGCATTCTTGGACAAAGCAGGGCTGATGCTCGGTGTAGGATGACGACGAAGCGATAGACACGACGTTCGAACTTAATGACACTTTGTACTCCAAGGCGAAGATTCCTGCGACAGAGGAGGTCTACATCTGGCTGGGAGTAACGCACCCTTATCGCCATACTTAGCAGCAGGAAGCTGATATTCTACAGGCGAACGTGATGCTCTCATACCCCATAGACGAGGCAGAGACACTACTGAGTTCCAAGCTATCCACGGCAAAGACCAGCTTGTCTAACTGCGAAGAAGACTTGGATTTTCTCCGTGAACAAATTACGGTAAGTTTGAACAGCCTTCGCTACGAGGGTGAGCCATCACTGACTATGCCGTAGACAATGGAAGTCGCTATAGCAAGAGTTTACAACTGGGAGGTTGTGCAGAAGCGAAAGGACAAGGTCGAGGAGGAGGAAGAGAAGAAGAAGAAGAAGAAAGGAAAGTCACAAGGTGACTAATTCAAAAGAAAAGATCCGGCTGGTATCTGATGTGTCTATGAATGTTGAAATTGCAAAAAGTAGAGCAAAAATGAGAAAAGTAAGAAACATTTTGCCGGCAGAGCTTTGTTGTTAAAGTATGAAAATTAGCAGGGATTCCCAGCGCATCGAAAGTATCACACAAATCATTAGGCGAGCGCTTCGCTTCGAAAGATATTCACAAATTTGACAACAACCTCAGAAATCCTGATATACGCAGGTATAGTAGGTAAGGAGTGACCAACCTATTAAGGGATCTATCTATCTGGCCTTGGTGGAGGAGCTGAAGTGCGAGGAGCGACCCCGGATTGGCTGTCAATGACCTACAGCTGGGCTGCCCGATACTCCGATAATCTCGATTGGCGCATGCAAATTGTTTCCGTGAATGGAAACCGAACTTTCCAACTTTTGTTACGCCACCGCAGATATCACAACTCCCGCACTTAATTGCTTCGCCATTTATACCCTTCTTAGCTGTGTCATTGGCTTTGAAGAAATGGGCGAGAAATGCTGAGAAGTGCAACCCGGGAGCTGAGGCGAGGGTGGCACTTGTCGCAGGACGTGACAACCCAAGCCAAGGTGAATCTCAAAAGCCGAGTTTTCTTTCTTTTCTACGATGTGAAGCTTACAATTGACTCTTTCAGTCCGCTTCGTGCCTCAACTCAGCCCAAACCCGCCGATATGTGTCCTCTTTGGATGCCGTCGAGGCCGCCATAGTCAAGGACCGTCGTACCGACGATTACCAAAAGCGCCGCAAGAAAGTGCTGCCCAAGCGCTTGTACGATCCGAAAAATATTTTCAAATTCTCAGACTTCAATGAAGATAACGGGCACGGGCGAATTGAGCGACGGTTGAGGATGCTCAAAGGTTGGGTAGAGCAAAGTCCTGCAGTTCTACTTCGTAAATATCTTGCTCTGGAACAACCGCCTCGAGAATCGCTTTTAGAAATTGCCGCCATTCGAACTGTGCGCCTTCCGGTCGTCGTGATTCAAATGCACCTTCGACAACAGGTGGAAGCCGACCTCGAAAACAACCGAGATCTTGCCCAAGCGTTGCCCAACAAGTCGGAATGGGAAACCCTGATGAAGACCCTTGAATACAGCGGGAATACCGAGGAGCGACTGAACGAATATATGAGTATGCTTTTCGCCAAAACCGACGAAGACCGATGCCGATTATTCCTGGTAGATATGTCTCCGAAGCCCGTCTTCATGCTGAACTATCTGCTGAGATTGGGATCGAGCATTAGCAAAATCTCGACTTTGGACCGCCTGTTGGAATATGTTCAAGGACGGTTGCGTGCTACGACTGAGAAGGCTCGCAGGACATCTTGGGATAGAGGACGTGCAAGCAGTGAAATGGAAAGATTCACAACAGAAGATTTCATGATTATCATGGAACGACTTGCCTTCCACTGTCGTCGCATAGAAGCAAGGCGCCTGATTGTGCTTGCCGACATAATGGCGGAGTTTATTTTCAACTACAAAATAGGTTCTGCCGAACAGACGTACTGGATGAGATGCAAGTACTTCAATGCCGGCCTGACCGCTATTGCTCGGAATAGCGGATCCGGGCCGCAGCATTCGTCTATACCCTACGCGTACGTCTGGGAGGCTCAGCGTACCCTTCTGAGAATGTCTGGCAGTCTCCCGGAAGCCCTTTTGGTAGACAGAAATGCGTTCCGCGCCATCAGAACTGTGCTATCCGGGATGCCAAAGAACAGAGATGAGATCCACAATGCCACACGGTATTCAAAGTCATGGCCGCCATATCTGCAACCAGCAGACGGTATGGACGAGGCTATGGAAGCAGAAGAGAGCTGGTCCCGCGTTGTTCGGGCAGGGATGATGATGCAGGAAGCAGGATTCTCCAAACAGGAGGCTGACAGTGCATTGGATATTCTGCTAGGCATGACTCCCGGTGGTACTCCAACAATTCAGCAGCAGGTCAAAGTAGCTCCGGAGCAAGACCTTTCGGCGTGGCAAGCATCAATCATTGCTACACGCAACGCTCATGAAGCATGGAAGCAGTTCTGCCAACCCCCAAAGGCTGGCATGGCTCCTGGACTGCCAGAATATGCAGCCATGTTCCGGAAATCATTTGCTCGTGATGCTGATCCCGAACAAGGCACCTTACCGGGAGACAATTCTCTGAGTCATCCTACAAATGAGGACATGAATTTGACAGAACTGGAGAAGCTGCGACAACAACCCCCGACCCCTCAAGAATTGTATGAGATGATGAGACGCGACGGATTGCTGCCCGATGAACACATCCTTCACATTCTAGTGGCAAACGCCCAAACTCTCGAGGAAGCCCATCGTTATCTGCAAGACGGAAGCACAGAGCATCGTAACTACGCTTACTTGTTGGTACCCGAACCAACAGCTGACAAGCTGAAGGCTATTCCTTTACCATTGTTCTCGGCGTATGTGGATATGTTGTCCAAGACAGTGCACCCCAAAGGCAGTAATCTGATACGCGCCATTCGGCTCGCAGAGCTGCGTGTGGGTCGCAGGAACCAGAACTGGGTACCTCATGTATGGGCACCTATCATGAAGAATGTAGGGCAGCATCATTATGGTCTGAAGCTCACCCTGGAGGCGCAACTTCGTCTGATAATACACCTTGTAGATCGTATCGACGCCGTGCAGGGAATGACTCTGTTTCTTTTCAACAGATTTGTGAGAACCCTGCGGAAGATTCTGCGAAGAGAGCTACAGGTACTGGCGAGCGCTGTAGAAGCCAACAACACCAACTTCAACTTACTTGGCGCCCTTTATTGCAGAAATGCCGAGGAAGACGGTGCTAAAACCGAGATGAGCACGGAGGCAAGGAGCAACTCAGCTCTGCATCTATTTCGTGTTCTTATTTCACGTATGAAAGGCTTCTATCATGCACTCGTTGTCGAGGAACGAGAGAGGCAGCGGCCTGAAGCAGAAGAAAGTACAGATCTATCGTTTGTGGACATCATGCGATCACGGCGAGATCCCGTGTTGGCACCTTTTGCTCACGACCTGATGCAGTCGCTGGCGTTTGCAGGGGAGTATAATGAAATGGCCCAGTTAACAATGTGGCTCATAATGGAATGGAGCCCTCTACAGTCACAAGAAGACGAGATGATAAACATGGAGGTGTTACCTCACGACGTGGACATGTTGGAGACTTTGTGTGCGTATCGTGCGTTTGCGGAACCCATGTTAACGGACGAAGTGCGCAATCGCGTACGAGACGTCCGATTCCAGATTGGGATCTGGCAATGGCCAGGCGACCAGATAGTACAGTCGTATATCCAGGCCAATGCCGTTCACGGGCATGAAGAGTTAATTCGAGTTCTCAAGTGGGCTCGCATCCGAGAGCATAATCGACAGAACCACCTGCTTACGAATGTCGACGATTTAGACTTGGACGCCATTGAAAACAAGCATGAGACTGCAGAGCACCAGTTCAACACCCACGAAGAGTTTAGAAAGAGAACAGCACTGCGAAGTGGCGAGCAAGGATCATTGCTGGAAACCTAGGGTTTTGGGGTACCTAATATAAACAGAGCATTGATGGCGGCGTTTAGACGCGGTGGCGTTTATCGTATATGTATACAACACTGTACAACATCCATGAAAAAGGCGTCTGTTAGCTGAAACGATGGTAGAAAAAGAAGCAATGAAATTTCAATGTGAAAGGGATCTATCTCCTTAGTAGGTTAAAGACTAAGAGCTCAGCCACGGTCCATGGATTTGGTTGATTACTTTTCCTTACCTACGCTACTAACGGGCGGCTATCGCCAAATGATGTAGTGATCCAAGACGACGGTTCTGGAGGTCATCTATTCTTAACTAGCCACTCACGGAGGAGGCATGAAAGAGGAAATGAGAAGGGTTGATCAGGTCTAGACTATCAAGGCCAACTATGGGTCGACCAAGCCTAAAAAAGCATGACTCTGGGAAGAGAAGAGAAGACCAGACCAGACCAGAATCCAGATATTATCCATGAAGGCATCACGAAACCCCTGTAACAAGCACTAAAAGCCTACAAGACCGCAGGCCGGTTCAGTGGAGACAGGACGATTGGCAGCTAGGTCCCGGCCGCTGTGGAGTTTGTGCCGCCAATAGGAACAGGCCGCGAATAAGCTGTTGAAACAGAGCGCTTAGAGCCAGTCTTTTATAGTACAACTTGACGATAACGAGACAAGCTTGATTGGCTGAGGGTTTTCGGATATTTTCTCTAAATGTTTTACATGTAATTTACTGGGGTGTTGGGTTGGGCGCCTGTTGATACTCAGGCTTGGCTGGGGACAGGGCAGGGCAGGGCAGAGCTATTCATGGTTCAAGCAAGAGAGTTTATGGGCCATGAAAATATGAGATCCGATACGAGATGAGACTTTTGTGAGGCGATTCATCGTCTTTTGCTGGCTCTAATTGGATATGAGTGATTCTTAGGGGGAAGCACTGCATATACATTAACAGAGTGTTACCACTACCTATTACAACTTTGTATGAATGGTTTCTCTCTACTCAGCATACAATACACACTCACTCTGACCACTTTTGTCCTTTCCTCTCTCTTTTCCTTTGTCAAGTATTTCCTATCTCTGTTTTGTGTGACTCTCTTTCATACTCAATCTGTTCTTTTCATTCACCGCTTTGTTCTTCTACTGTTCGTCATTCCCTTTGACGTTGCGAACAAGCTCCCTTGTCTTCACTGTTTTTGTGCCTCAGCATAAGGACATTGAACAAGTGACTGTTTTTTGTTTAGAGACAATCTCTATTTACTCTTAATCATCTTGAAGTTGGGAGGAAGCGATCGACAAACTCATACATTATTTTTCGTGCCACTATCAATTATTTCAAACGACTTATACTACTTTGACTCACGAACCGACCAACGACATAAACGAACGAATCTTTTCGATTTAACCAACACATTCCTTCTTTCAAAAAGTCTATACTATTATCGACATATTCTTCACGATGCGGTGTAATAGATCAAGGCTCGCCGTGGCCTTCTCACTCCTTTTAACTGCTCAGTCCGCGCAGGCTGGCCCTATGTGGACTGGTAGAATGTACGGAGAAACTGATAACACTTCTTCAACTGCTGGATCTAACTTGGGTGATAGAGAAAAAAGAAGCCCTGGCGCTTTTCTTGACGTTAGGATGGAAAACTCACAGGCTCCCACTGCAGCTCACGACGGATACGGGTATGGATCAGATTCGGAGACAGAACATGAGGACTCATATCTAACGATCTATCATAGCAATGGCAATGGGGATCAGACTAC